TTGTTAGTCTTAAAGGTGCCACAGGACCCTCTGTTGATTCTTTTTTTAATACTTCTCTTAGTTTAAAGAATAGCAAGGAGGTACATAAAAAGGCAAATACTGGTTTTCCTCATAACATTTGCTTTTCATATGTCAAGGTTTCATACAGTGTTTTAGATTATAATGTAGGTGTACCAGCATGCACAGTATCCATTCCACAGAGAGTAACCAAGTGCAGCCTTGCCCACTACTAAACTAAGCTAAAACTGTGGTTTTGGATTATTCTTGTTCAATGAACAGTGTATTTCAGAGGTAGCATATCACATTTTATGTTCTGGTAGCTATGTTGTCATTAAAAAAAAGACCAAACTACCAGTAATACAGACTTATATTTCCGTATTATTACAGATCTGTCACAGACTCTTGGCTCTTTAGTTTCTGTAAGAGGTATGATTTGTCTTGCTATGGCACCAGTCCATATAAACATGGTTTCAAGATGCTCATTCTTGTCATTTGGATTCCTGGTATAAACTGAGTTCAAACTGTTACCCAGTCTGTGGCTGTGACATCTGCCAGTAATTGCTTCTTTTTGATGCTTCTTTTGCTTTGGTTTTTAGATGAGCTAACACTAACTTTTTATGTTCACAAGTTCACTGCTCAGGAATTCTTATTTTAGGCAAAAAGTAGCAAAATGTCACGGCCAAAACTTTCTAGAAAGAAAAAACATGAGTCCTTATTTAGCTTTATAAAAAGAACTATGTTAAATCATTTCTCTTGCTATATGAAAAACGGCTTTAATATGCAAGAGAAATATTCAGTTACAAGAAGCATTTATTTCTTTAATAAACTTGGGTATAGGAAATGTACATACTTTTTAGATGTGAATCAAGATTTGGGTTTGGATAAATTATTTAGCCAATTTTTGACCAAAATTAATACATTTTGCTGCAGCAAAATATTTTGTCATATCTATTCACGGCTAACTAATGAGGATGAGACGTTTGAGGAACACAGTACCTGCAACATAGCTAACTTGGCAAATTCTTTTCCTCTTTTTCTCATGTCAGTTTCATCTCAGACACTTGCACTCTACCCTGGTGTATCTGACTCCTTTTCTCATTCCCTTATCTCACTATCAGTACTCCTCTGTTTGTTCTCTCCTGATCACCTTACTCTGGTCTTTCCTTTGGGGGTAACCTCCGTCACTTCAGAATCAGCTTCAGCGTTTCTCCCTTGGGTGGTGGTGGGGGCCTGGAGTAAACTAATCTGACTCCAGAATATTTTTTTCTTCACTCTGGTTTTATATTTCCTTATTTACATGGTGGGCCTCAGGATGGACCCTAGAAGTTCTCTTAAGCAAAAACACTCCCCCCCGGCCCCAAACTCATAATGCAAACAGAAATACTTTTCCCTGCCCCCTCTACAGGGTATTACCCTGCTATGTTGGCTCCTAGTCGCCAGCCCTTCCCCCAAACAGCTGTTACCTTCGTTTCTTTCCCTATAGGGAGGGGAGACCGCCTTTCCTTCCTCCTTCTGCTGCCACTACCCCTGCTGTAGCTTGTCTCCCATCTTTGTCCTCCTCTTTCCCATCAGAAGAAGGGTTTTTGAATGTCACTGGTAGCCCTTAACTGGCCTCAGGTGTCTCTAGTTAACCTATGGTAAACTTTTTTCAGCTCATAGGGAACAGAGTCTTCACCATTCTAGGTCTGATATATTTGCCTTCCAGCACTCTCTTATATTTGTCAGGACTGACTTTGTCACACCTTCTTTTGCCTCCAATGGATCTATGAGAAGTGCCAGGATGTTCTTCCACTTTGGTACTATAGGATATTTTAACACACCAATATGAACACAATTGGGCTTAGGCTCATCCTGATCTGTTGTAGTCGTATTACAACCTGGGGCTTTCTGTTGAGAATGCTTTCATGCTGGGCTCTGTGGGATTACCTGATCACAGCATCTGTTTTTGTGGGTCTTTGAGAGACTAATTTCAAATGCCTTTCTGAAATGTTGATGGAAACTGAATTAGTTGGGGCTAGCTGAAGCTATGTTGCACTGAAGTTGTGTAAAGGTCAGTCGGGTACCAGTTAAAAAAAATTATCATTACATTCAAAGGAAGCTCTTATTGTTTGATAAAAGTTCAGCAGTTGAATGGCAGCCTCAAGGATCAAGAGGATGAGGAAATTATACAAGTTACACAGAATTTAAGCTACTTTGCTCAGTGCAGAAGGGAACAGATTAGTCATTGAACTAATCTTACCACTTGCATTCCATCCTCATTCTCCTTGACTTCACAGCAGCTTTTGACACTGTCAACCACACCCTACATCCTGAATCTCTGTTCTCCACTGGCATTCATATCTCTGTCTTATGACTCTCCTTCTACCTGTCTTATTGCTCCTTCAGTATGTTGTTTGGAGGGTTGTTGCTGGCCCCCTCTCCACTTTTCAGTGAGTATTGCCCTAGGCTCCATCTTTGGTCCCCTTTTTCCGCTTTCTACACTCTCTCTCTAGGTACTCAACTTCAGAATTAGCTGTGACTCCTGTCTTTATGCTGATGACTCAAATCTCTCTCTCCATTGACAAGCTGTCTTCCTCAGTCCAATGCAGCATTTCGGTCTGTCTTTCTGATACCTGTTTTTGTGGATGTCAAGTCAACATCTCAAATTCAATATGGCCAAAACTGAGTTCTTGATCTTTTCTGTCAAAGCCCTTCCTTCTCCCACTTTTCTCTATCACTTTGGACTACACTACCACCCTTCCCAGTGATCCAAGCCTATAATTTGGGTGCCATTTTTAACTCAGCCTTCTCTAGACCCACACATTCAGACAATGTCTAAATCTTGTTGCTTCTTCTTACACAGTTCTAAGATAAGGACTTTCCTCTGTTTACACAGCTAAATCTCTCATCCAAGTCTGCAACATTTTGTGTCTTGACTGTGGCAAGACCTTCTTTCTGGCCTTAACTACTGCAACCTTCCTCCTTTCAAGTCCATTTAAAATGCTGCTGCCAAGATCATCTTCCTAGTTCATCACTCTAACCACATCAATCCCCTTATTTCAATCCATTCACTAGCTCCCTCTTTGCCTTTGCATCAAACAAGTTTATTGTTTTTATCTTTTAAGGCCCGTCACAGCTTATCTAGTCCCATCCTATCTACCAAATTTAGTAACTTATGATACCAGCCTCCACCTTAATTCTGCCAACATTCCCAGCCCTTACCACCTGTTACAAGATTGTTCTTTCTCCCTCTATAAATAGTTAATAGATAAAGTGCCCACAGATGGTGCTCAAGAATATTCAGTATAGTTCCTTGGTTCTGTAGGACTGATAAAACTTGTTGCTGTTATTGTAAATGGCTTCTTGTGTACAGCTCTTTACATGGAACCACTTTACATGGAACTCTTATCATTACCTGCAAGTCATCTTCTCCCTAAAAGCTTTTTCCAACTCCACCCCTTATGCATAGAAAAAACTCTCAGACATAACCCATACAGCTACTACTTTATTCTCCTTCAAATCATTCCTGAAGACTCACTCTGTTGTGTTACCTAAAGAACACACCCTGCTGATCACAGCTAGGCAGGTGATGAGCTGTGACTGTTCCTCTTTGCCTTCTCCCTCAATCTTACTAATGTTTCCATACTTCACCTTACCTCTAGCCTAATTAAAAAACAAAACACAAAGAAATAAAACCCAAACAATAAGTCATGTAACTAACAAGGCTGCACTAATTCTTCACCACACTCATTTGCTTGTATTATAACCCCATCCCCTGACTTTTATCTGTTTTATCTCTCAAGACTGTAAAAGACCCCCCTCTCCCCAGGAAAAGGATTTTCTCATATTTATGTTCATACAGCCCAACAGAGCCCTAATCTTGATTGAAGTCTTTGGGCATGACCATAATAGAAACTTTTTTACTATCAATAATAACAACAACATATTGTGAATAAGAGCTTTTAAGTATGAATTGAGATCTACAATCTCAAAACGATTTTGATAGCTAGATTGATGACAGTTTACCAGAAAAATCAGATCGCATTGCCAGCATATTAAGTGATGGCTTAATTTAATATAATTGATGTGACTTCTCATTTAAGAGAAATCTCTAGGAAAAACCACACCACAGATTCAAAAACAAGGAATTGCATGATTAGGTTTGGAAGGATTAATTTTTTATTGGTAAATGTCAGTAAACAGAAATTTCACTATACACACAAACTGCCAAAAAATTTCCATCAATTATTATTATAATAACTGAAATGTACAGATAGGTAAAGTAAAAAAAATGCTGCTTGAGAAAGTTTGGTTTTAAGGGTATTTGCTTTATATATTTTGACATGTGATGTTGACAATTTGTGTTTTAATGTTTATAAAAGCTTAAACTTTTTGAAATTCAAGGTTTACTGTCATTAAATAATTTTCTGATCCCCGTATTGCCTATTCTTTCCTGGGTGTCTGGCTGGTGATTCTTGCCCACATGCTCAGGGTTTAGCTGATCACTATATTTGGGGTCGGGAAGGAATTTTCCTCCAGGGCAGATTGGCAGAAGCCCTGGGGTTTTTCGCCTCTGCAGTGTGGGGGACAGGTCACTTGCTGGAGGATTCTCTGCACCTTCAAGTCTTTAAACCACAAGTTGAAGACTTCAATAGCTCA